AGAAAACCAAACAAATTCAATTTCAAGTTATTGTGCTGATTCCATGGGTCTACAGAGTACCTATCCTGATGAAGGTCGATAAGATGGTTCCCTTCTTCTGCTAGGGAAAGCATGGTATTCTGATGCAGGTTTTGTTGTGCTGCATTTTGTTTCCTGAGGGTAAAAAAAAGCTAGGCTATTAAAGCGGAGGTGCAAAGAAAAAGTAAATTGGCTTTTATGTCCTTTTATGCTTAGTTTGTGAAGTCTAAAGTAGGCCTGAGACGATTCTTTCTCCCCTCCCCCGCTTTTTGTTGTTGTCTAACATTAGAAATTCAGATGTTGTCTCACTTGAAAGACTGTGTCCCTGTCTACATTGGGAAAATGTTCATAAAACGGCCCACTTTTGCTAACACTGTTTAGTAGACCTGCTGGTGTTAACAACATTGGAAGCCCTAGTGTAGATGAACTCTCACCCGCTGCCACCAGTGTTTAAGCGCTGTGTTGATTAGACCCGGCTCTGATAAGGGTTACATGATATGACATTAAAACAAAACAGAGGCAATTGTTAGACAATCTACTCTAGGGATCCCAATATTGCTGACTTAGTGTTAGCCACAGTGGAAAAATTTCCCTCTTATAGGCAAAGTCTTGGTTATGCTTTCAGAAGAGCTATTTATATACTGTGACTTACCTAAGGACTGCTTTCTGAGTTGATGTTCTTCCATCTTCTCTAAAAATGTGGTGGGACAAATATGACGCTGGTGTAACTTCACTAGCTTTGGGGTGGTAATGCCAGAGATGAGTTTCATGCAGTGGATTTAAAATAAACTGAAGTAAAAATACCAAATACCTATAAAAATTCTTCTACCGTGGAATGATGGAAACAGAAAGTGGAAAAGAAATTGTATTCATCACATTGAAAGACTCATTTTTTAAATAGTATTTAAATCTCCTGAGTTAAAAATGAGTCTGTATCTCCTGGACCGTGAAGAAAAGGTCTCTTTCTCTTGAACTCAATGGAAGAAGGCAAGCAAGAGCCTGTCTGGAGAGACTGGCCCTATGCCATAGTTTCCACTTCAGTGGAGGGGAGGAGACTTGGATCATGTGAGACCTCTCCTGGACCTTCTCCTCTCCTCCTTTTTCTGTTCCTACCTGAGATCTGTGCTGAATCAGTGCGGGGGCACATGTCACATTGTAAACTGCTTATTTACAGATGACACAGGCAACACTGGATACTGCAGGTTATGCAACGCCATCCTTGGAAGTCGAGGCTTCCCTAGGTACAAAAGTAGGTTGATTGACAAGTAGGATCCAGACACAATGAGACATTGTATTGAGCCACAAGTAAGAGGCATTAACATTTTGTCTGTTTTGATGGGAGCACACAGAGTTTGGAATTGTTCATACCTGCACTGATGGAGGCCATTCTCTGATGGAGGTTAACAGTTCCGTCATGCAGGGCTGGAGTGTGCTTGCCTTCCCCTCATTTGGAGTGGGATATTATTGACGGATGGGATAGTTATGCTGACTGGTGAGGTTGACAGTATAACTATACGCGTTATGGTCTGGAAGATGTTTGTGTATAATTTTGGGTAAATAAAGCATGTGCCTCGTATCTTTTTTTTTTTATTCCAACAGTTACTGTAAAAACAAATCCAAGGGAAAGGGGTGACAATATGTCAGGGTTAATTCCATTCTTTAGAGTCCTAGCTGGAAACTAACATTGACTGTACTTATGTGGTTAGTTTTGCCACTGGAGTGGCCACAAAAGGATCAGCTAATAAATTGTTGCTATTGATGCTATAGATACTACGTGGCTTTCTGGATCGTGAGATGTCAACAGACTAATGTTTAAGTCAGCTAGTTCAAAACTAAACAATGCATTGAGTGCATCTCTCACCACACTTTTTAATATTATGGATATATTAGCAAGCCACAAAATATTTCTTTGTATTATTTTTGATTCTTATAAGATCCTGAAAATGGAATGGAAGACTTTTATTTTGCATACTTTTTGAGGTGTGTGTGTGACTATTTAGTAGGGGCTTGATCCTGCAAGGAGCTCAGGGCCCTCAACTCCCACTGAAATCCATGGGAGTTGAGGGTTCAGAGCACTTTTCAGGTTTGGGCCATCAGAATCTATGAAATGGGGATATAGAGCTCAGTGCTCATGCTAGAAAACAGGTAAGTTTCACTGTATTATTCTACAGACTAGAAACATTTCAAAGCTTTAATAATACAAAGTTCTAACCAGTGCTCCTGCAAAACAATACCACCTTGACATTAAGTCATTTTCTGTTCTAATGATCGGAAGTAATTCAGCATTCTTTTTGGGTTAATCCTTTGGTTTAACCAAAAACACAGAACCACTAGCTCTTTGGAAACTTGCAACAATGGAAATTCACCTGGACGTGGTGGATGGGGAAGTCATTTTCACCTCCGCTCTTGTTATTACTTTAATTCATTGTTCTTACAGCTCAGAACTAAGCCCATTAAATAAAAAGTTAAACCATCATGAGCAAATTATATTAAAACCCATAGTCAGTCTCGTTTTTATTTAAAATTGGTTCACTCTTTGTCACACTTCAAAGAGGTCCTCTACATCTGAGAGGTAATATTGATCTTTATTATTGATAAGGGAGGAGTTTGGTGTAAAATAAATAAATGGGCCATTGGAGGAAGGGAGAAAAGAGTTTAAAATTATATTGCAGACTTCAGTTGAAATTAGTTACTTAACCTGTATGTCTCTGGACCACAGCTTATAGTGGACAAACATCTGGTCAGTTTCATTTTGTTGCTGTTTGAAAAGCCCTGAGCAGTAGCAGAGGCACAGTTTTGTCCACAGACTCAGTAAACCAGCATTGCATTAGTTTACGCTGAATTTGTGTTTAGAAGGTTATGTTTGCAACCAAAACAGCTAATAATTTTTAAATGGAAGTTTGGATTCTGAACAAGTTGATGGTACTTTCCCAATATTCTTCTTGCTCATCACAGGTAAGTAGGTTAGTGGATTTTTCTGCCCTGCTTCTTCTTGTAACAGAGCTCCAACAGTCGTAATAGCAGCCAACTTAGATGAATGTACATGAAACATGCCACTTCTGTCCCTTTTGATTCACTTCAAATATTTATTTTTGCCAGTAAATTGATTGGGCTGGTGTCTGTGGTAAACAAATGGAAAAACATCCCCATTTTTCACAGCTGTAGGGTAACAAAGGGGAAAGATTTAAAGAAAATTTCAGATCATTCCATCATATACATACATCTTTTACAATTCAAGTACTGACTGTGGCTCAGTATGTTGTTAAGTGCACATCCTGGTGCTCTTTGAAGTACTTAAACTGTTAGTGTGAAAATCAAAATAAATACAATTTTTGCTCCATGTTTTTCAAAGCTTTGATTTCTTACTGTGGCTGAAAAGCAGTAAAAGTATCCGAAAACCAAAGAAACCTGGTCTAAATGTTATGCTAAGGACCAGATTCTGAGGTCCTCACTGAGTCCTTAGTGACCCAGATTTTTAGTGATTCCATTGAGAGTGCAAGTGCTCAGCAGTTCTTGGCCCTGTATGTCCTTTTAATCTGAATGTGCTGCAGCTTTAACTAGTCTTTACTGAAGCTTCTTTGATTTTAGGTTATGAGATCATGTGGTTGTGTTTCAGCAAATGGAGCTTGTTCACCAAAAGCTTTTGATCATCTAGATAATGCAAAATTATTCTAGATTTCATGACCTAGTTGGTCAATTGGATTGCAGCTGACAGTCCATGGGTGTTGTATCAGTGTGTGTATAATGCATGTGTGCATGTGGTAATGCGCACACGCATATGTAATAGGAGTTTAGAGTAGTTTCAGAATCTTGGGAATTCTGCTGCCTAAACGGATCTTGTGGCACACAAGATAATTACAAAACATGTCGTCAAACCCATTTCAACCTCACTGTAGATACTGGAATTGTACTGAAATCTTTCAAGTGGCCTCACAAAGACCGACAGTTACATGTAGGATATCGTGATCATTGGGGGAAGAGTATGCTTAACTCAAGCAACAAAATTTAAATCCCTGAAATTGTCAGTACTTTATCCTGAGTCATCCTGTTAACCTTAGTTTTAACAATATTTTAAACTAACAATTTAAAGTAAAAGTATTAAGGGCGATGTAACATTGTAAAGAGATCTTTTCTGTAGCTACAAGTTTTGCCGATTTTTTTCAAAGACCTCTGAAGGCAATTTGTGGCCTATATAAAAAATGCATTGTAAAAAATATATTGACCATTCTGAACTAGTGTTTCTCAATAACTGTTCCATGGACTGGCGCCGGTCCCTGAGATCTCCCTGACACAGTTTAGGAAGGCAGCAACCTGGTCCCTGGTATGAAAAGGGTTGAGAAACACACTGTTCTAAACCATGCTGCTGTGGTGCATCCCCATATTTGCATGCTCAGAGTGTTCTTTTCTTTCAACAGATATTGTTAGCTGTATACATTACTGGGCAGTTTTATAAGGGAAGCTCTTCAGAGTAATAGTGTGCTCCTCGTTCTAGAGGCAAAGGCGAAATGTAGGCTTTTACTCTAATGGTTAAGGTGATGTCAGAGTTCTGCTGTTGCAGAGCGACTCCAAAGAGGGGGCAGTGGGTGACTAAATGATTCTGTACTTTTCCCTCTGGTTTTTATCCCCAGATACCTCTTACTTCCTCTACCTCATGCCATGATCAGCATCTTTACTTCTTGGATAGTGGGTAAGTGGCTTCCTGTTCAGTCACTGCCAGTGCCACTTCATAGGTCAGCTGTCAAAAAATTCTTTGAGACAAACCATTTTTTCCCCTTCCCCCTTCAGATCAAAGTAATCCGTTCCATTATCTTCTGTCTTCATTGGCCCAGGGCAAAAGAAGTTAAGAGTCCTACGTTTGGACCCCGTTGTGCCGCCACCAGGCTAGACCATCAAACTAGCAGCAGCAGTTAAAAATTAATAAAATTGATAATAAAAACGAATATTATTCCAATAAATCTTTGCTTTTTTTCTTTCTCCCACAGGACTATTTTTACCCGAAATACTTGGGTGAGTTACAGTTATTACTTTCACTTTTTGGCAGTGCTGGTATGTGTGCCTAACATTGGAACGTGGGACAGCCAGTCTGTCCAAAAGAATGTAATAGAGATCCTCTATTCCATCCTGAAATAGAACCAATTGCTCCTCATATGATTTTAAAGTGGGTATATTTTATTTATATCTATAGAATGACATACACAAACACTTTATATATATATAAAGTGTATGTTTAATGTTGCATTTATTTCTGTAGTTTACATCAAGAGTAAACAGTTTGCAGTCTTCTACAGTGCATACACTTTTTAATAGTTTAGTTTTGAAAGTATTTTTTAAATAAGAGGATTAGCTTGCAGACCTCTTGCTTTTTACATTCTGTGTATCATTGTCATACCACCACATTGCTTTACATTTAGTATTTAACATTACATATATCAACAGTTTTAGAAAACTCTATATGCTTTTTAGATTTGAGAGAAATCTTTTCTATTTAGTAAGTCAGCCTTTAGTAGCTACTAAGGTCCTTTTAGCACAATAGTAGCATCTGGTAGAATAATCATATTGTACAGTAGAATTATAAACTGTTCAACTGAACATCAGAGCTAAAATATTTATATGAACTAAGAAGAATTTTTAAGGCATCTGAAGGGCTGCAGTTTAGCATGGATTTTGTACCTACCCTCCAGAACCTTGCTTAACGAAACATCATCAGGCCAGATATCAATTTACACACTGTTTCAGCTGGCACATAATAATAACAATTTCATTTTCTGTTCTTCAGCTTGTATTGACAAATTTGGGTCACCGTATACAAGAAGTCCAGATTTCCTTACATGCGTTCATAGTAAGCATTTTTCATATTGTATATTACAACTAAACATAACAGTCATTTGGTTTGAGGTGGGGAGGCACCTCAGTCATCTCCATTCTGATAGAACTTTAGCACCCCTCCTACCCATTTGCTTTCTTGAGGACCTTATGTCATGTGTAGCACCCTTCCAGCTGAAGGACCAGTTGAGACTTTATTCCTTTCAGAATCCATTAATGCTGCTCCTTCGTCTTCCAAAGGGTTCGTGTTTAGCGATGCAGGGCATTTTTTCTCCCCCGCTTTCTCAAGGGCTGAGAAATCTGGGAAGCAAGAGACAAGAACTAGGATTTACAATTCGGTCTTTCCCTGGGCTTGGCTCCTCACTTTAACTTCTTTTTCTAAGGAAAGGAAAAGAAAGTTTGGTTCTTCTCTGCTAAGCCTGAATTTCACCTTAAGACATTTTAAATCTATTAGTCTTTAAGGTGCTACCGGACTCCTTGTTGTTTTTGTGGCTACAGACTAACATGGCTACCCCCTGATACTTAAGAGGGACTTTGGTGACTTTCTGCACAGGGTGAATTTCATCCATCACATGACAAATTTCTGTGTTGTATGAAAAGCTGCCAAATCACATTTATTCAGGTCATAAGTAAAAAGATGGGTTTGTCAACCTGAAAACTCAACTTGGAATCATGTTGAAAGTCAAGCTGGGTTCTTTCTGGCCTGTGAATTTATTAATGATAAAGATTCTGCAGTTGGAATTTAGTTAACCATTATGTTAACTATCCAGTTTCCTCTCCCATAGCTATGTTGGCACCATAGTGCTAAGAATATAATGTAGCAAAAAAAAATTTCACTCATGTAAGCAGATACAATTCTAAATATACCCGGGAAGCAAATCAGCTGAGTAAACAGGCATTATTTATAGCTAATCACTTTAATTTTTCCTCTGTATTTCAGTGTCTTATCATGGTCCAGTTTGGTTGGTAGGATTTCATGACCAATGTTAGGGAGTTAGTCACAAAAGAGGGATACAATTACCACTTCACTAAGTTTTCAAGGTTAAAAGCCATTAGCACTGCAACAGCTTCCCTAAACTGTTGACAGAGTTGGCTGTATCTGAACTCCAAGACTAATAAGCAAAAATGTAAGACCTGAATTTACAAAATTCAGCAACATGACTTACATAATGTAAAAGAATCATCTGAATAATTCATAAATGTTTTAGAAATATTGGGCCAAAGGGCGTTTACCTGTGTAAGGATGAATAAAAGCTGAGGAAGGGGCTAAGAATTTGGCCAATTGTAGATAAAGAGGTTTAGCACTATAATCATATATATTCTTTCCAGTTTAAAATCCAGAAATGTTTAAAACAGAGGGCATACAAATGTAATGAACTAATGGCTGGATTGTGGCCAGCCATTGCTTGGGTACACAGGGGTAGGGAAGAGGGTGTGGAAGGAGCCCCTCCATCTTATATCTACTCTCAGAATTTGCTATCATTTTAGTCCTTATGCTCACCTGACCACAAGGACTCCATAAGTCTGACACTTCTCAATGACCTCATTTCTGTGTCAAAACAAGATGGTAGAGGGTCTCTTCAACATAGCAGACAAATGTATAACAGGATCCAATGGCTGGAGGTTGTTGCTAGACAAATCCAGACTGGAAATAAGGTGCACACTTTTAACAGTGAGGGTAATTTAACCATTGGACCAGCTTACCAAGGGATGTGAAGATTCTCTGTCATGTAAAATCTTTATAAGAGTCTTTCTAAAAGATGCTGTAATTCAAACAAATTATAAAATTGATGCTGGAATTACTGGGTAAATTCTATGACTTGTGTTATGCAGGAGGTCAGACTAGATGATGTAATGGTTCTTTCTGGCCTTAAAATCTATGATTATGCTTTTTTTTTTTTTAATAATGAGGCATGTAGATGATGTCGTTTTTGTAACTTGACAAATTCCCAGTGCAGTTTTAATTCAAAAAGTTCATAAATCTCAGAAGATAAATTTAGAAGTCACAAGTGGCAATTACTATTTTCAGACTTTCAACTATTTTCAGACATCGTTTTGATGTCAATTTTGAAAAAGAACTAGAAGTTTATAAATTAGGGTGTGATACCTGGATACGAGGAAAGAGAATACTTGTGCTAGGAGATCTAAATGGATGGAGACAAAGGCCCTGAGAGCCTGATTCTGTTTCCTGTTATACTGATGTAAATCGGGAATAATTCCAATGAAGTTGTTGGAATTACACTGTTGCAAAACTAGTGCAAGAGCCTAGTCAGACCCTGTGTTACACACAAACCAATGTGGGAAAAGGAACAAAGCATCCAGCACAATGTTGGCACTATACAAAGAATAAAGTAGTTAATTCTTCCACTCCCAGTGGGTTTGGACTTATTTTATTGTCACACTGTATTTCTCCCATTTTGCTCTGCAGAACAGGTAGGGATGGAGTGTGTAGGAAAAGATGCAGAGGCCGGGGATCCTCTGAAAATTTGGGCACCAACCCTGTCCGTTCATTTTGTCTACTAGGCTCCTCTGAAGAGCATCACAAAGTGTACAAGGCTAGTTAATGCTGCTTTGAACAATGTTAAGCTTACTGTACACAAGCTTTGGTCTGCATAGGGAAAGGAACATGCTCAGAGCTGCTGTTTCTTGGCTTGTTTCCCTGCTCCCTGACCACTCCTTTCCCTCCGCTCCCCCCCCCCTTCACTATGGCCTGTCAGCTATGCAGAGACTTTCTGGAGGGGACATTGGCAGGTGTGCATGTGTGGTGTGCAGCCTGTATAGGTGCTTTTTCCTAGTGTGCAGCCTTCCTCATGCCCTTTCAATGGGTTGGGTTTGCTCTGCTCTGCAGAGGTGGGGGGAGGGAAGACATTTAGGCCTTGTTTGTGATTGAGTGTCCTTGATTATCACTGTGAGCCTTTCAAGGAGGGCTAGGTGCAAAGGCTTTGGCTAGTGATTCTCAGACATTCTTGGCATTTCAAGACAAACTATTACAAATATGTATTCCTATGGCAGCAGGCTAACCACATTCCATTCCCTAACAGTTCTCTAGTGCCTTCCTCCCTCTCTCGCAACAGAATTATTACTGAGGCCTAAGATAAGTTCTTATCTTCTCTATAGCTTGGTCCTGACTAGAAATTCTTGATGTTACTTTAATTGCAGAGCTGCTTGGGTGACTGTAGTCTTATCACTTTTTGATAGAAATGGACAGAATTATTGGGGGAGGGAGGAATGTAAATACTATAAATGTAGGGAATTTAGCCCTTTGGGGCTATTTTAAGAGTTCCTTTCTCCTTCTCCTCCTTCACCCCCCCCCCCCAACCAACACACCATACACAGCTACAGAAACCACCACCAGTTACTTGTTCCCTTTGTCCTTTAGAAATGATTGAGTCTTTATAATAAGCAGGATCACAATTGACAGGTATTTTTTTGAGTGTGTCTGAACTGTACCTTACCATCCTTTAATCCAGTTACCATTACTAGGCACTATTAAGTATTCAACAGGAAAGGCGGGGGGGGGGGGGGAATTTTCATGCCATCCATTGCATTAATTCAAAAATAAATACAAAACTATTGCTACAGGGAAACTGGATAATTTGCTGCAGCAAAAATGGCTAAACTTATTTTTTGAGTCTCTGTAAAGTTTAAAAACACTGTAGATATACATGATTTAAGAAGGGTGCTAAGATGATAGGCACACATCCTTCATGGACAGTGGAAACTTAGGGCTTGTCTACATGCGGAAGCTCTTGTAGAATAATCTAGACAGAATTCAAAGTGCAGTAGCTATTCCGCACGAAGGGCAAGTCTACGCTACAAAATTAAGTTGACCTAAATTACGTTGATGTACAACTGCTGCAGTAATTAAATCACTTTTGCACATCCACACTACGCTACTTGTGTCGGCAGTGTGCGTCCTCACTAGCAGCGCTTCCATTGATGCAGAGAGCAGTGCATCATGAGTAGCTATCCCACTGTGCAACTCGCCTCCATCTAGCGCAGGGTATTTTGGGAAGGGTTTGCAATGCCTCATGAGGGAAACGAGTTGCGCGGGGGTGACTGGGGACATGGTTTCAACGTTCCAGGATGCAGTTTTCTCCATCCCAAATTTTATCTGCATCCCATAATGTTTCACGCCTCTCTTCAAAAGTCCCCCAAACCTGCTTGTCCACCATCTGTGTGAGAAGCATGGATCCTGCACAGCTCTGCACTATTGTGATGAGCGTTGCGAGCATGGCACGTCTGATCCTGCAGTATTTGCAGAGCCGCCAGAGTAGTCGTGGGGAACGTGACAATTCCTTGGAGGCTAGATTGCTGTAGGACATAGAAACAATCCAAGGTTGTTGTTGGCATTCATGGAGCAGCTGTAGACGATGGAGCACAAGTTCTAAGCCCAAGAAACAATCACTGACGGGTAGGATCACATCATTATGCAGGTATGGGATGATGAACAGTGGCTGCAGAACTTTCAGATGCTCAAGGCCACATTCCTGGATGTGTGTGCGGAGCTCGCCCCAGCCCTCCAGTTCAGTGACACCAAAATGAGAGCTACACTGACAGTGGAGAAGCGAGTGATGATCGCTGTGTTGAAGCTTGCAATGCCAGATTGCTACTGGTCAGTCAGGAATCAATTTGGAGTTGGGAAATCCATTGTGACAGTTGCTGTGATGCAAATGTGCAGGGCCTCTAATCGCATCCTGCTACGAAGGACTGTGATTCTGGGCAATGTGCAGGACATAGTGGATGGTTTTGCAGCAATGGGGTTCCCGAACTCTGGTGGGGCGATAGATGGCACGCATATCCCTATTTTGGTTCCAGACTGCCTTGCCACATAGAAAAGTAACCATTTCTGCTGATGTACTATGGTATTGCAAGCGCTTGTGGATCACTGAGGACATTTTACCAACATCAGTGTGGGCTGGTCAGGGAAGGTGCATGACACGCATCTTTAAGAACACAGGCTTGTTCAGAAAGCTGCAAGCAGGGACTTTCTTTCCAGAACAGAGGATTACCATT